TACCGCAAGCATGTTCGTAATTCCCGTTAAATGGGAAATCTTTCGGTGTTGGGCTCGGGGTGCTCGAGCTGCCATATTTCTTCCCCGTGATAGCGTCGCGGAAGGAAGGTGGGCCCGTAATCGCTTCTCGGAAAGATAGCGGGCCAGTGGATGTGCCCGGGAGATACCCAGCTGCGTCGGGGATAGGCGTGGAGGTGTTTGTCGGCGGAGTACCGAGCGGGGGGTGTTCGGTCACCTGAGGTGCGGATGTCATGTCCGGGACCGTAACGACCACTTCATCCTTGCGAGGGTGCAAAGTGGCTGGTTCAATTTCTCCAACTATCGGAATGGTTATTCCGGTGAGGTGGTTCGGCGGCGAGGGAGAATTTGGCCTTGGTCCAAGTATTCCGGCCGAATTGACCAAATTTGTGGCTGTCCGTGGTGTTTTGCCGACAGTTGAGGGATTTCCGGTGGTAAGGTCGGCGCCGGAGCCGTCGCCGGAGCCATCGCCGGAGTTGTCAGCTGCCAGTCGGTTAGAGATGGCTGTGTGGTGGGTAGTGGCGATGATGGTGTCGGGCATGGGTGTGGGCTGGGAGGAAGTTAGGGGTGAGATGGGTTGAAGAGAGGCTTGAGGCGCGGGCCCAATTAGATGAGAGACCGGTCTGGGATTGATGGGTTGAGGGGATTGAATGAATTTATTGTTGAAGCCCACGAGTGAGTTTAAGGAGGGGGATTGAATGTGGGCTGCGATCTGTTGAGAGAGCTGGGTGTTAGAGTTTGGACCAAATGAAAGTGGGCCTGAGAGAAGGTTGGAATTGGGCCTTGTATTGTTGACTTGAATGTCCACGTGATAGGTTGAGATTGGGGACACATCCACCTGCAGCTGAGGGTTTTCTTTTGCTGCATCGCCGCCTTCCATTAATGAACCTGGTTTGGCCGACGGGAGAGTGGTCGACGGCAAGATCCCCAACGAAGAAGGACCTCGATTTTGAGCTGGCTGTAATTCTGAACTTCCGTCGACGGGCCTGCTCACTGAACTTGCGTCGGCGGGCCTGCTCATTTTTTCGGCCGTGAGAGGAGCGATTTCTCCTTCTTCCAAAATTTTCATGCCGAGGTGTAAAGATTCTGATTTTGAGCTTTTGTTTGTAATATCCGGCGAGAGGGTGGGAGGGACGGTCTCCGCCGGCCATGACCCATTATTTGCCGACCGCTTGTCTGAGATGTCTTCTTCGGAACTACTCGACTTTTTCGAGTTTCTCTCCAAAAAATCCCCAACAATGTGTTGGAATTCTGGGAGGTTGAAAAGGGTTAGAACATCCGGTGAAATGGTGGACGGAGCTTGGTTGGATTGAGGTGGAAGAGATGGCGATGGGATGGGTTTTGTTGCCATAACTGCGATCTAGAGAGATGTAGCCCGGTGGACAGTGGGCCGGGCTGGCCGCCGGCGGCGGCGGCCGGTGGTTGTAGGTACTATTCCGCGATGGATGTGAGGGTAGCTGGGTGGTAGATGTGGTCGGAAATTGTGTCGGAAAATTGTAGAGAGAGAAATCTAGAGAGAGGTGAGAGCATTTGGTTAGTTGTCATCTGATGCTGCTAAGTTAGTTCCTTTCTTGTTGCTAGGTTAGTTGTGTTTTGTTGCTAGGTTAGTTTTTCTTTCTTGTTGCTAGGTTAGTTGTGTTTTGTTAGGTTAGTTGTCTTTTGTTGCTAGGTTATTTCTTTCTTGTTGCTAGGTTAGTTGTGTTTTGTTGCTAGGTTAGTTTTTCTTTCTTGTTGCTAGGTTAGTTGTCTTTGTTGCTAGTTTAGTTGTTCTTTCTTGCTGCTAGGTTAGTTGTGTTTTGTTGCTAGGTTAGTTGTCTGATGCTGCTAAGTTAGTTGTGTTTTGTTGCTAGGTTAGTTGTCTGATGTTGCTAAGTTAGTTGTATTTTTTTTTTATAAAAAAATTGTAACCCATAGGATTTGAACCTGGTACCTCATGGAGGTAAGACAAGCAATGCAACCACTACACCACTCAAGGTTGAGTGTCTTTTATTGCTAGGTTATTTATTTCAATACAACGGGTCAACGCCGG